GATATATATATGGATTTTATTTCCAGAATAGCCAGGGGCCTAACACACATAATGTAGAAGGGCCATTAGGAAACAAACTATAACGTTTATTGGTATATTTCGAAGTAGCTTTCAGAAAGAATGTCTACCTTTAATTCTGCAAAAGTGGGTTTCTTGGGTTCTTCACTATTCCAGCCATGATTTTATAAAGAAACAAGTGAACCTGTGAGGAGGTTGGAAAATTCCCCAGGACGCTTCACTGGGGAGGGCAGGGGGAGGCCTGGTGTTACTTGCCCACTCATCTCCCACCGGCGTTCGCCAGTTTGCACCACACTCTCCTTTACCTACTTTTTCCACATGGGTGATAAATCCTTGAGGATTTAGTTTTGCTCAGTTTACACCACCTTCCTACAGCGTTAAAATGTGTGTAACCCCACCACTAGCACCCTGTCCAAATGGACTTTCCAGAACTTTCTCTGGAGCTCATGACCGCTCTCTTCCTCAGCATTGGTATTTCTCCAGAGGTGTATCAGCCAGCGGCCCAGTCCTAGATGGAGGGCTGATGACTAATTGTGCTTCCAGCCACATGTTAATATGTTTGTAGCCTCTGATTAACTGTGAAAGTCTTCTGGCTACCTTATCAGATGAATTTGGCCCCTAAACATGGACACATTGTAAAAATTCATGGGGTTCATGTGCATTGATTCTTGAAACTCATTGCAACTGGGCCTGTAATGATTCCTGTTTGTATAATTATTAATATGTTCTTGATTACTGAAAACCTGGGTGCTTAAGGGCATGCTTGTCATTAATTTTGCTTGAATGTGCATTTTGCATATTTGAGAAACTATTAAAAGGTCAGCTTTGATGTTTCCTTTGCTTTTCATTAACTTCATATTCAGATAGAAAACTGTCGATGGGCCATGGATTGCCGACCAACAGTGTTGCTTTCTTACTTTGTCCTTTCCGTTGTCAGAATAGGCTGCTGAGCTTGGCGAGACAGATTCCCTTGCTAGTGCATTTGAGCAAGAACTAGTAAGTGTACTGCTTTTAGATGTCAGTCTTGCGCGTTTAGGCATATGCCAGCCCAATGGTCTGCCTGTCTGTATCATTTTGTCCTGGCATGACAGCTTAATAGTTTTCCTGGTTGGATTGTATTAAAATCTTTAAAGGCTACATTCACTAAAACATATGTCCAGTGTTTGGGCAGCCAATGTCTGTGTAATCATTTTAATGCAGTATAATTTAGCCCGTCTGTGTTTCCCCAGATAGTGTATTGTTAAAACTGCATTAGTCTATGTGTTTTGATGCTGTTGCTTTCTTGACAAAAATCCCTTTTTAACATAGTGTAATAGTATACTTCCACATCTCCAAAAATGTTTTGAACTGTGACATAAGATGGTAAATTAAGCAGTAGCATACATTGTAAAATACAGTAGTGTACATATACTATAAACACTTTGCTGTGATAGATTTTTTGGTCCAGCTAATTGTTTTGGGGTATTTACCATGTACAGAGCATTGTGCTAGGTGTCTTGTGTGGACAACTTTAATTTGTCACCATGAATGAAGATGCGTGTAGTGGGTAGACAATGGGGAAATGTTCCCAAGGGGCCAGACAAGGAGCAGAGGATCTTCAAGGCTCCCCGGAAGGGGTGCTGAGGCAGGCCTTGCTGGCACTGCCGTGTGTGCAGGGTTGGGCTTTTCTTTGCTTCTCATATGATGGGATGGGCTGGCTGTGCAGGTGAAAAAGGGACTCTTGGGTGATGGGAAAATTCCTAGACTTTCAGGACAGTGTAGAGTACTCTTGAAAGATCTTCAGAAGGCCTCACAGAAAGATTAAGTCTTTCTGTTTTGAAGTACAAGACAGGAAGAAGTCAGTGACAGTGCAGATCTTTAATTGTCTTGGTTCTCTGCTGCCATTTGTCACCTCAAATTCAGTGACTCTCACTGTGCGACAGGCCCAGGTGCAGGAGCAGCTTGTACTGGTAAAAAGCGAGAGAAGCAGATGCAGAAAATCCAGTCTTGCCTGATCTTTCTTGGCTCTGACTGGTTCAGTTTTCCTATTGAAAAGTTGCTTAAATGCTTAAAAATATATGCAAGTGGAGAAGTAAATTTATTTCAGAAAAAAACTTGAAAGTTAAAAAAGTTCTTTTTTTCCAGAAACTTTTTAAGCATTATTAGTTTTTATGTCTAGTGTCATTTTTAAAAAAGTCCGTGGAAACTCACATTTAAAAACACCACATTTTTTGCTATCTAAGTGCATAAAAGTGCTAAATTGAGTTAAACTGATTTCCTGGCAGTTAAATATTATTTTGCCTAGATGTGCATATCTTAAAAGACTGTTATAGTTGAGAAAAACATCTCATTGGATGAGAATAGCAGAATACCTAATTCAATTACACAGAATTGAGAAAGTCACATAATCTGGAGTAAATTTATAATGATCTCATTTTGACAATGTTAATGAAGTGTTAATTTCCAAATTTTATATAAGTAGTCCTTAGGAATTTTAGTGAATTAAAATTATGAATGATAAAATCATATAACAAATAGGATTTCTATTGTACCTTGAGAATAATTGAACTGCATTGACACTTCACTATATGCTAACTATTTGAGATCATGACTGAAGTGTATCAGTGTTTTAAAAAGTCAGTCTGATTCTATTTATTTTTTGTATTTTAGGGAAGGGTCTCCAGGGTGTTCAGGGTCTCACTACTAGATTAGATTTGTAATGATCCACCTGTTTACAGCCTCCCACGAGCTAGGATTACAGGCATGTGCCACCACACCCAGTCTCAATTGTCTCAGCATGCCCTAGGGGCAGGGCCAGCACAGCAGGCCTGGGCATCGAACCCCTGGCCCCTGCACCTGCTTGCAGGCACTGTAATCCGCTGAGCTATTTGGCCAGCCTTTCAGTCAGTGTGATTCTTGCAGTTGATAGCATAACCTTCAGCATTAATTCAAGGACTTTCTTTTTCCTTTATTTTAGTGATAATATTTTTAATAATCTAAAAGTACATACACTGAAGTGCAAGCATTTCTTTTGTATACATCCTTGAGCATCATTCCATCTGAGAAAAGATTTTTGGTCTTGGAATGAACCTTTATAGATGTTTACATACTGCCTCAATATATGTACATGTTGAGAGAAATGTTGTTTAGAGTTTTCATTTTTATAGCAGTTCCTCACAGAAATGAGATTATATTGTCTGCAACTGCTTTATTTTATTAGTTGTCTTATCAAAGAAATCTTTCTATGGCCAGAGTCTTTTTCATGGCTGCATAATACTTTAATGTATTAGTGTATTATTTAGCCATTTCCCCACTGAAGGACACATAGACTGTGTCTACATTTCATCCGCTTGTACAACCCCCAAGTTAGAAGCTTTCTCTAGGTGTGTGCTGGGTGGCCCAACCTCTCTCCTGCAGTAAGCATCTGCCTGTGACGCTCTTTGTCTCTCAGTGCTTGTTCTAAGAAGTTACATTTGATCTTGGACGGCCCGAACTCAGGTTATGAAGGACCGGTCCTTGTGTGGGGCTTTAGGGTAAAAACGTTTTCATGTGTGTTGCGTCTTTCTACCTGCTAGAAGCTTAAGATGTGCTGTCTAGCGCGGTGGGTGCCGGCTGCCGGCTTTCTATGCTGGCAGAGTGCTGGCTTTCGGAGGTGGAAGGCGAAGAGCAGCAATTTTATTGCAGTCTCCCCTTTCTACCTGCTAGAAATTTCAGACGTCCCACTGACTCGGGTAGATGCTGGCCACTTCGTCTTTCGAGGCTGGCAGGGTTCCAGGTTTCAGGGCTGTATGAAGGTCCTGCTTGTCAAGTCTGCTTTTTAGTAGATTAACTTCAAAAGGACACAACTTTTAGGGACTATTTGGAAAACATTTTTTTTTTCTTGTTTATTATGAAGTATTTTTTGTCTTTTTTTTTTTTTTTACTTTTATCTTGGTACACTGAGGTTTAATTTGTAACTTTTACACACACCTTAATTAACTCTAGTCACCAAAAGCTGAACCCCAATATTCTAAAGTTAGTATTTCAGTGGAGGTGGGTGGCGCTCATTAAGGTGTTATAAAGTTTTATGTTCTTCAGCACTACTTCTGTAGTAGATAGAGCGATTTATTTTTGTCCTGGCTATTGGCCGAATCGGAGTTTCACATCTGCTGGCAGAGTCTGTGGAATGCTCTTTAAATTGTAACAAATAATCGCATAGGATAAATGAAATATTGGTGTTAGATTCATATTTTGCTGGGAGATTTCATTTTATTTTCATAAAGTAGCAGCATTTGAAGAGAAGGGGTAGCAAATTGTTGGCAGACTGGAGAAGAAATTACCGCCTCTCTGTTGTCATATGCTAAGTTTTCGATGGATCTGAAGCAGTAACTTGCTGTAGATTTTACCAGTTTTCCTCCCAGCGCAGCTGGCATCCTGCTATGATATCATAGCTATACGTTTTGATTTATGATTGTACCGAGTGAGTCCTGCACAGTGTGCATTAGCTGCAAGCAGCGGGGAGGACACTTTGCTTTGCGACTGCGTGACAGCGGACCTGCTCCCTTAACAGATTTTAGTGCTCATTTACTGTTACTTTTGTGATACTCTCTCATTGCCAGGTGTCCTCAAATAACAGTAGCTGGACATTTTTATTTCTTTGCTACAAATTCTTCATGGGATTTCTGTTTTGCTTTTCCCAGAACTCACATTTCCTAAGACTACTGTTATTTATATGCAAATTGACCCCAAAATGCAAAAAGTACTTTCACTCTTAAATATGAAGAAAAAAAATTGATACTGAAGTCTAAACATATGACATCATTTTATGACAAAAATATCTAAACAATACAGCAATCAGCAAATTGTTCAGTTGAGTGGGAGCTGTAGCTTCTGAGGTATAAGACTGGCAGGCTGATTTGGTCTTATTTATTCAGTTTAAATATTTTTGTTACTTAATTAAAACTATCATCATATACTTGAAGTATGCATTCTTTTCAATGTCGGGTTTTCTGTTTCTCTCTCAGTCTGTGATCAAAACGGGGCGGCTCCTCCTCAGCCACGAGGCCCCCTTGACAGGCGGATTTGCATCTGAGATCAGCTCCACAGTGCAGGTAAGCGACGTTCTTGGCGCCGGACGTAACGTTTGCGCAATTGTACGTGTGTGTTCCTCGAAGAAAAACAATTAGGGGCCACAGCAACTTAAAGTGTGAGCTTTCTGAATTGTAGATTCTCCATTCTGTGCTATATTTTAATTAATGGCATAATTAAATCTAGTAAAGAAAATTCAAATGAATAAAAGTGAAAAAGAAACCTTTGTGGAAAGTCAAAAGTTTGACATGATTAATGCACTAAGTTTGCTTATGTTTGTTAGATGATGAGGATACTTTTACATTTCAATCTAATGGTTTTCTTAATAAACCAAAGTTAATGTGAAATGAATTCATTATGAAATTGATCTTAGATTTTTGCAGCTTTTCCTTCCAAATCTGAAGCTAAGCAAAGTCCATGGTGTAAATTCAATACATGCTTTTAAAAATAATTTATTCATTTAATCAATGATCAGACCATGTTACAGGCAGTGCTTTAGAAATGGTTTAAAGCTTGCTTCTTTTTGAAGCTGTTTGCTTCAGTGTTGCATGCCAGAAGAAACCCTGCACGCCTCTTGCTGCAGGATTTTTACTTAAAACTTTTTTCACATTTATATCATAGGTATGCATAATTTAAAGCCCTTCTATTTTTCCTAATTTTTAAAATTAAACATGAATTATTTTAAATACAGAGTACATGCTCTTTAAATCCAGAATATCTTTGCAGTTTATACTTTACTGTGGTTGAGATGCTTTAATTATTAAAACATAGCCACAGAGCATTCGTTAAAGAATGAGTAGGCTGACAGTTGGACATTAAATTTTAATTGATGAGTAGAGATAAATTATTTTTAAACATTTAACTAGTAAAAAGTGACTTTTACCAATAAAACATTTTAATTGCTAATGAAAAAATTAAAACTATTTGAAATTAAGTGAAGTAAATGTAAACAGAAATAATTCAAACTCTAGATCAAACTAATGTTATTTTTATGTTATATATAGTCAATGACAAAAGTAAGAAAAGTAAGATTGTTCATATTTAATTGATATCATTTAACTACCATGTATAGCAGGTATTTATTATATATTTTACTGAGTAGCATAATGCACTAAATTTTTTAAAAATGAGAATTACAAGAATGAATCATTAGGCTAGCAAAATGTTAATTTCAAGCCAGAGGCAAAACTGGAAAAAGAAACTAGATTTTGTGAGCCCGGGTCAGGCTGTGTACGGAACCATTTACAGCACAATGGCTGTTGCTGGTGGAAACCTTGGCAAGCTGCCGGCTTTTAGCCCCTGCCTGCTAGTGCCGGCCCAGAGTCCATTTGCATACAATTATAAGAGCAAAAGCCGAAGCATATACTTGTAACTCCTTTTGCAAAGTCTGCTTTCTCTAGGTATGCTTTTAAATTTCGATCTCCATAAATTATTGTTAGGCTACAATTGAATATAACATGGATTGTAGATGGAAATGACACAGAAAGATGATCTAATCTACGCTAGTGTCTCTTGGTTTTGGACTCTTGTCTGGATTCATTTATACAAAAATGCCTCTAAGGCCCCGTGAGTGCATCCATGAATCCTTGTTTGAGAAACACTTTATTAGGAGTTAAACACAGGCACTAAAAATCCTAACTATAATATCACAATCAGATTCTAAATGTATCTGATAATCATTGGTGGTACAAGCTGTCTGTGGGATTATCTAGAATCTAGTCATATTTAAATCACAATCTGAATACACCAAAGGAAGGCATTTAGTAGTACTCTTGGCCTCCTAAGAGTATGTTCGTAGATCCTCAAGTGTCCATAGTCTGTAGTATGAGAAATACTGATGGACGCCCGTGGTGTCCCACCTGCTGTGGGTGTCATGCACAGTGACTGTTGCTCGCTCACGTCATGCAGATAGGGCAGATCTGGAACTTGCACAGGCGAAAACGCTAAGTGTGGACATCTCAGTTCCTTATTCGAGGTCCGCTGTCCCCCAAAGGAAAAATAGAAATTTTGGGTTCTTTATAAAGTTCTGTTTTTAAAACCATTAAACCAGAGAACCAAAAGTGATTTAGTGAATTAGGTAACACTGTAAAATTCTGTAATGGAGATCTGCATTTAACATTTTGGGTAATTAAATTTTTGATGTATTAATATGAAAATAAACTTGAAAATGTACACAGTTGTTTTTACTTAATTCAGATTTTATTTGTGCAAGTAGAGGGTGCTGAAAATGAGATTTAATAAAATGTAATGAACTTGATCTTCCCAGATATTTGTTGTTCATGCCTTTTAGGTCCTGAGCAAGGATATTTTAAGTCCTTTTCACAGTAATGCTTGCATATAATTTTGAGTGAGCTGACTAAAATCCGTTTTCAGTAACTGTTCTATGCACATCACCAGTACAGTGCAATCCCCTGCCTGCAGCGCTGTGGCCAAGGCTGCCCCTTTTGTGGGGAAAACCTGCAATAAATTACCAGTGCCTTAGGTTACATAAGCTGCAGTCTTGAAAGTGTGAGGTGCAGTTGATTTCACCGCTTGGAATGATTCATATTTCCATATTTTTTTTTTTTTTTGCTTGCGTATATCTTGTAAGGTTAGAAAGATAAAATAGAGTTAACATATTAAAATCCAGCTTTCTGATTACAACAGCAAAAATGTATGCAAAGAGATTTTATTGCCCTCTTAGAAAAGAAGCTTGAAATTATGAATGAGAGAAGCTGGAAATCCGAATACTGTTGATTAAAATATTGAGTTATTCTCACTGTATCAACAGTTAGATTTCACATCAAGGTAAATAAAATATTTTCTTCACAGGCATTTTCTAAAAGATATGCAGTAGTGTTTTAAAAACTCATGTAAATTTTATGCAAAATTTAAAAGCAATATTGTAAGAAAATGATTAGTAATTTGATTTATTAATATGAAATCTAAGAGCACTAAAAACCAGAAATACTTTATTCAAATTTAAAATTATTACTCACATTAAAAATAAAATATTGAAGTGCATTGTAGAAGACATCTTTTTGACTTTATATTTGTTATTTTTGGAGAGAAACATTATAATGTACTACCTAAAATTAACTATTAAATTAATGAACATTTTTACTATTACTTCAGAAGATTCCTCTTAGTCATTCAGATAAAATAGGGAAAGAAAATATAGTCATAATTTATACAACTCTTTCATTTACAACAGATGGTTCTTCTATCAGACAAAGGATTCAGTATCCAAATCTTTAATTTTAGTCATGCCTGGTGTTTCTTCTCCATACACCCACTTACTTAAAAAAATATTGCTAGGGCAAGGGAGATATCGTAGTGTCATAAACGCCTGCCTGCCTATTGCAAGGTCCCGAGTTTGATCCCTGGTACTGCCTAAATAAATAAATAAATAAATAAATAAATGAATATTGCTAAAGATCTTAGTCTTAGGAAATACTGAATATAAGTGCTTAGAGTACTTTATGTTGACTAGATACAAACTTTCTCTCTTTATATGATGATACTTTTCTTAAAGAAAACTGAATTTAATCTAATAGTTGCCTTACATTTCTTTTTGATTGAATTTGGAAGTTAACCGAGAAGTAGAAGAAACTGAGGCCGGGGTGTCTGTCACGCCCTGGGAAAGACTTCTTGGCTGGTCACCCGCCGCCTCACTCTCTTGCGCTCCATCTGGATGTGACCATGTGTTCACTTTGGAATAAGGAAACGTCCCCGTTTTTTCTTCCATTTGACACTTCCAGTGCTGCTAAAGCCATGTATTGTGTGCACTGATTTGTAGAAATGTAAAGACAGCAGCGCTTAGATAATTTATTGACCTTTCTATCGGATGGGAATTTCACTGGTGTAGAAGGGGACATAAATTAATTTTATGATGTGCTTGCATTCCTCATCTGTATATAACCACCGATTTTTAAAAGAATTTTCTTGTACAAAAGGAATATTAACTTCTATTTTAATATTCACCCAAATTAATTTGCATATTTTAATATGCAGTGTCCAATACAAGTATTATCTATTTTTTAAATATTACAACCAAATAATTTGTGGTGTTTTAACAACTTTCACATAATGCTTAAGTTGTTTTAGAGATCAAGCTTTGTTATTAATTTCATATTAGGATAAAATAAACTTGTTTCTGATATACTTGTATGATAATAATACAAAAGGGTTTTTTTTTTTTATTTAATGCTTAAAAGGAGTGCCAAAGATTTTGGGGATTGTGGTTGCCTTAAAGGTTTGAGGTTTTTCTTTTTCTTTAACACATGGAAACAATAAGTCTCCAATAAAGAGCCCAATTGGAGAGAGCGGGAAGTTTCCATGCCATTGTTTTATCCTCTCTGTGCGGTCTCTTTTCTGAGAATCAGAACTCAGGGAAGCGTGCATTCCTACATACATTTTTAAGGTAATCAGGTTCTGATAGTTTAAAAGGATTTTTATAGGGCCCACATGAACCATTGTGTGGAAAGTTTCATTAACTAACTTTCAACCAAAGAATTTTGCTCTTATTGTTTCATGTTAGAAAGGTTTATTCAGAGGGATTTTTTTTCTTACGCATTTATTACTACCAAGTATATAAACATTGTGTTTCAGTGCATCAGTCTGAAAGAGAAGAAAAGTACCCTAAATGGGCTTGATTTTTACCACTCTGTAAAGCATTTAACAAATATTCACAAGTTGACCTATTAAGAGAAATCCAGAAAATCCATCAGGGTAATAATGTGATGAATGCTTCATTGTTATTTTGTGTTCTCAATTAAAAAAGAATCCACCTACGATGGAAAACATTTGGGAACAACCGCAGCAAATAAGTCAGGACAAGTGTGCTTTTGTGCTACAAGATGGAGCCAGAGCGTCAGAAAAGCAGCGTAGCTCAGAGCGTTCCAGTGCGGGATGGCCTCTTTAAAATGCAGCTCAGCCCGAAGCCCGTTAAGTATTCTGTAAACAACTTCTGTGGCCAAAGAGAGGCACCAAGGTCCGAGTCTCCTCAGGGATGGGTTGTGGATGAGCTCACTTCGCCACTGAG